ACAATCCACACAAATCTTACAATTAACACTATGCCAAGGCCACGCCACAACTGACATAAGTGATACGGGTTAATTGTCTCACTCATCCCACACCATGCTAGGGTCACGCCCTCCCTATAGCATCACTTACCCAGGGGTCGTGCCATCCCTAGTCATTGATGTGAGGAACCACAGTCACATCACAATCCACACAATCTCTTTCAATTAACCCTATGCCAGGGCTGTCATATTTGACATAAGTGATCCGTGTTAATTGTCTTACTCATCCCACATCATGCCAGGGTCACGCCCTCCCTGTAGCATCACTTACCCAGGGGCCGTGCCATCCTTGGTCATTGATGTGAGGCACCACGATCACAATCATACTCACATCCATACAACATCTCATCTCATAGCTTAATCCCATATCATATACACAATTGCATATACACAACAGATAAGTCTAACAAAATAAGAGTTTACACACCCCTCAAGCAATTCACATCTAGATAATAAATTATTAAAAAGTAATATAAACATTATATTCATAAATTAATATAATAATCAATGGAATTACCAATTAAATATAATTTCAACATAACGGCAAAACCCCCAATTGTTCCAAAACCTAGCTCACAGGCACTTTTCTACAGTTTCGTTCTCCCTCTCAGATCATCATTCTTACAAATTAAATATATATTTCTAATCCTCAACACATACAGAATCTAATGGGATCATCAATTTCTCAAACACAAATAATCCAATTTTTTCCAAAACCTAACTTATAGACACTTTTCTATAATTTCGTTCTCTCTCCCAGAGCATCATTTTTACTAATAAAATATATATTCACAATCCTAAATTCATACAGAATCACATAAAACCAACAATTCTCCAAACAGAAATAATTATAAAATTAATCATAATCTTAAGGGCTCTTCCTCTACCCAATTCCCTCATGTAACTCTACATATAAATAATTCTCTTTTTCCCCCGTACCTGGATAAACAACAATTGAACTAAAACAGGAATCTCTTGGTCTCCTCCTCTAAATGCCCCTTGGTCTTTAGAGAGAAGAAGAGGAAAAGAAGAGAGAACAGAAGAGAATAAGAAGAGAGAATGAGAGATGTGTGAAAATGAGAGGTGAGGGGCGCTATTTATAGGATTTCAGGCTCACCTACCGGAACGGCTCGTTCCAAAAGTGGAACGGCCGTTCTGAACCCTTCGAAACTACGCAAAATTCTCAACTGGAACGGCCCGTTCCAAAACCAGAATGGCCCGTTCTCAATCCCAGCAGAACGACCCATTCTCCCACCAGAATGACCCATTCTCCAAACCAGAATGGCCCGTTCTGCTTCTCCAATTTTGGGAATTTTTGTTATTCCGGAACGGCCCATTTCACTTTTGAAACGGCCCGTTCTGGGCAATCAATTAGGCCTCTGGCCCAGCGATTTTGGGTTGTTACATTATATGTTATTGAGTTATTGTTATTTTATGTTGAAAAGCTTTGGAATTAAGGAATTTTTTTTAATGAATTTTAGAGAAGTTGAGGATTTTTTTGAATAGATGTTCAATTTGACCATGAAGAGAGAAGTTCATAAGGTTTCTGTTTAGAATTAAGTTTTATAAGTTTTATTCTCCAAAAACTTAGAGAGATAATTTTATAGAGAGAAACTTTGGTATTTAACAACCTCTTCTTCTTCTTTCTAAAGCGATTTTTTGCCACTCAAAGTGAGGGTTCTGGTGGATTAGGGGTGGTCCCTGACTTTGTTCGCTTAGAGCGAATACTTGAGTGTTCTCAACGAATTTTCATCGCTTAGAGTGAGGGTATCTTTGCTTAAGCGACCAAATCAAGACACTCCAAGAGTGCTCATTATCTGAATTCGTCTTAAGCGAATTTCTAGGCGCTTTAAGCAAATTTTTGTTGCTTCGAGCAAACCTTGGGGGCGCTTGAAGTGCTTGTTCCCTTCTCAACTTACCTTTTTAGAGTTGATGGTCTGTATGATATAGATTGTATGTAGTTTTATGTATGTTGATTAATGAACATGAATATAATAAATCTATCTATTGCATATGCTGAGTTGAAAATTTTAATATTGTCTAATTGAATAGTTGAAGTGTTGAATATGCTTAATGCATGATAGTTTTGTGTTGCTGAGAATGCTTAAGGCATGTTGAAAGTGTGTTTATCAATCTAGGATTAGAGGAGAAGTTGTTTCAAAATTAATTGTATATCCCATGGATATGGTGTTCTAGAATCCAATTTATTGAAAATCCTTTTTGGAAAGTTAGCCCTTGAAAAGGCTAGTTGAGTTTCCTCTAAAATCTTAGTTGATGTAGTATATGGGTGAAGTCGAGACATATTGACAATAAGCGACTAATGTTGATCTTGTGGGAAAGGTCAATACATACTTGTATAAAGAGACCAAACTAAAGTAAGGTATGAGGTTGGGGATCATAATCCCTAACTAAGTTCTAGAAGGGTGTAGTATTTGGAAAGTAGTTGGCAGGTTAATCCCATAGACAATTTAGTGATGCTAGCTAATGTAGTGGTAAACTCACACTCAAGTTGTTCTACCTTGATAATAATACTAGACTTCCTAATTTAAGTGAAAAAATATGAAAAACCACTATGTGTTATGGATTTTATCCAAATTGACTATTGATCTAGCTAAATTGAAAAGATTGAGTTGTTACTTTGGTAGGTTTAAATCACTTAGATACTCACTCGTGTTATAGGAAATCTCTTAGTTGAAATATGTGAAGACACATATAATTGTTGTGTTGTGCATATGTATGATGTGTTGTGGTGTTGATATTGTATTATATTGAAAGTCATAAGTTAATACTATGTTGTGGCAAGTTGGGTTATTTATGCTAGTAGTATAACTTTTTTTTACGCCTATATTGATTATACTAATTATGTTGATTCTTTGAACTCTAGCGTATTTCTATATGTAGTTAGATTATGATGATCATACTTGGTATAAGAGTAGAACAAAGATAAGTTATGGTTGGAGACTTTTGGAGGCTGTGCCTATTAGTGGAGTTGTTCATTTTGGAGTTACTCTATCTAGTTGTTTTTGATTGTACTTAGTAGGTTGGATTGACTACTAGGATTATTTATTTATTATTTAGATTATGGAATATATTTATATAGTTGTATAGAATTCTATTTTCTTAGTTGTTGAAAACTTAGAGATATATATTATAGTATGTATTTTCCACATATATTTAAAATAATAATTCTATATTAAGTTGATATTTTCACTATTAATTATGAACTGTAAAGTGCATAGTGCATAGAGCATGGCCCATCATTACACGCAAAAACTTGTACAATAAGTTTGTTACATAACTATTTAAAAAAAAAAAAAAAACAAAAGAGTGTTGTCAAAAATGGGAAGAAGATGTCACCTTTCTTTCCCAAAAGAGGGCTTCGCCAAGGTGACTCCCTATCACCGTATCTTTTTGTGTTATGTTTGGAAAAATTAAGGGCAATGATTATGGATGCAGTGCAAGAAAGAAGGTGGGAGCCATTTAGATTGCCACATGGAGGGCCTTCTATTTCCCACTTATTTTTTGCTGATGATATTTTACTATTTGTTAAGGCTAAGCCCTCCCAAGTGCGGCTTATGGTTGATTTGTTAGAGCGTTTCTCCGCATTTTCAGGTTTTCATTTTAATCCTGAAAAATCTAAAGGCCACGTATCTACTGGTGTACCACCTCAAGTGAAGCATAATTTAGTAGATATTACTCATATTCGATTAACGAATAATCTAGGAAGGTATTTGGGCTTTCGCATGGTGCATGGTGCATGGTAGGGTGAATTTGACTCATTTTGATTACATTATCAACAAGGTATCACAACGACTAGCTTCTTGGAGGGGAAAACTATTAATTGAGTTGGTAAGGTAACATTGGTTAACTCCATCGTGGCTACTATTCCTTCTTATACAATGTAGTTTCAGTGGTTTCCGCAAATGATTTGTGATGCGCTTGATAAGGAGGCATGTCAGTTTATCTAGAGTGGGGATGGTACACGTAAGCTCCACCTTGCACGTTGAGATATAGTTACGAGAGCACGACGGCATGGTGGTCTAGGTGTTTGGATTGCTCGTTTACAAAGCATAGCTCTTCTAGGAAAGTTATTATAGGATCTGGGTCATCGTGAGGACAAGATATGGGTGCAGTTCATTCTAAACAAATACCCTGGTGCTACGTTACAACATCACTTAGATGTGAAAGGTTCTAATTTTTGGAGTGCTTTAGCCAAGACCTATACTCAATTGCAGGATGGTTTTCAACTATAGTTGGGTGCGGGGCACGTACGTTTCTGGTATGATGTTTGGTTGGGCAACTCGGCGCTTTGTTTGGATGTCCCTTATGTGCATTTTCGAGAAGTGAATCTTCAGGTATGTGAGGTATTACAAAAGGGAATGTGGAATTTGAGCATTCTCCATACCCTTGTCCCTAATACTTTACGTCAACGTATTGAAGGGCTTAGCATGAACCTTCATCATTCCTTATAGGATGTTTGGGTCTAGAACGGAGCACTGTATAGGAGATATACGACGTGTGTGGGGTATGAGTGGCTATTGGCATAGGAGGATGGCATCCATGACTTTGTGTGGGGTTGGATTTGGCGGCTCATGATACTAGAGAATCTAAAATTCTTTTTGTGGTAGCTAGCTCATGAGTGCATCCCTTCTACTCAGTTTCTCTTTTCACGTCACATGGGTTTAGACACCTTGTGTCAATGTTGTCATAAAACAGTTGAGGATGCATTTCATATTTTCTTTGGTTGTGATGCAACTGTGATGCTATGGCAATAGGTGTTCCCTGGTTTGGTTTTACCATAATGGGGTACAATCAATTGGTTCTTATGGTTGAAGGCTAACATTGACGAGTATGGGGTCATGCTTGTTATCTTATTATGAGAACTTTGGCTGGAACGTAACCGTCGAGTTTTTTCGGGTATGATATCTCCCCCTCATGTTTTGGTTGGTTGTATTCAAGCTATGTCATCTCTGTTAAGAACGTTATGGGGACCACAAGAGAGGGTGGCTCGACAGGAGCGTCTGGTTACATGCTTACAAGCTAGCCAAGGGAAAGTCATGGTGCATGTGGATGTCAGTGCGCTTGGTAGCCCAAGTCCGGCGAGTTATGAAGGTTTATGTAGAGACAACTTTGGTCGTTGGCTTATGGGTTTCTATGGGGATGCTAGAGTTGTGGACAATCTCAAAGAAGAGTTATTAGCTATCCTACATGGTATGAAGTTGGCATGGAGAGCTAACTTCCGCAATATACTTTGTGTTTCTGATTCGTTACTGGCAGTCAATTTGGTGTTGGGACCATTGGATGTGTTTCATAGTATGCTTCTATCATTGCTGACATTAAGGAGTTACTACAACAATCTTGGAGTGTCTGTGTTTGCCATTCTCTTTGAGAAGGAAACCAAAGTGCAGATTTTTTGTCAAAATTAGGGCCAAATTGTAGTGTTGACCTAGTAGTTTTGGATACCATGCCTGAGGGTTTACACTTGGTTGTGATAGCAGATGTGGTTGGAACGGTATTTCGTAGGTTGTATTCTTCCTTTTTTCTATTTTGTTTTCTTAGCTTTGAGTTACCAAAAAAAAAAAAGAGAGAGAATTTCTTCATCTACCGAAGAAAAATTCTAAATCAGCATCTGAATATATAAAATATTTAAATATTTTAATAAAATTATTATTAAATAATTATTTAATTTAAATTAATTTTTTTAAAGTTTCAAAATATTTTTGGAACATATTTCGAGATGTGTAGAATTTTTCTTGTCAAAAACTACTTGAAAAACTAGTCCAAGTAATATAAATGTGATAGGATAATTTAGGTAAATTAGATATTTTATCTATCCGTTGAACGACTGTAATAAGAAATCATTTATTTGATAAAGCCTTTTTATTTAACATGACATTTTGCAATGTCTTAACTGTAATTTCTTGTGTAAAAGAAGAAGTGCAATTATTTTTTATTATAATATTATTTAAACTCTTTTTAAAAAAATAAAATTAATCAAAATTATTTGTCATTTTATGTACAAAACATATTTTTCTTTCTCTCTCTATTCCTCTTTCAAATAACTTAAAAATCTACGCATTCTATACTCATGCTCTGTTCTCTTTCATTTCTTTTCACTCCACTTGTTTTCTTAAATTTTTTTAATCATCCAAACATATACCATAAAACTGTTTCAACTCTTAACTTATAAGTTAATTTTATCATACATAGATATCTACACATCTTCACAAAAATGGTTCAAATAAAAGAAAAACTAACAATCTAATTAATTAGATGTGAGCTATGTTTGGCAAAAATAACTCAAAAGCTGGTTGATAAATAAAAAAACTAGTAGCTGAAATCTAACTGTTGATAACTGAAAGTTTATATTCTAGCTTATTGAATAATATGTATTTGATGAAATTATTTGCTGAAGTAGCTGATAAACGTATAATGATAGAAATAAACGAATTTTTTACTCAAATAATACATTTTAAATTTTTTTTACCCAAATAGCAACTTTTAAATTTATTTCTCAAACACCATTTACTGTTCACTTATTTTTTTATTTTATTTTTTATTTTTTTTGCATTTTGGAACGACCCATTCTGCATCTAGAATGACCCGTTCTGCATCCAGAACGGCCCGTTCTGGTTGCAGAACAGGCCGTTCTACTTGAACATGCAAAAATTGTGCATTTGAAACAGTCCATTCTAAAGTCAGAACGGGCCGTTCTAACATCAAGAAAGGGCCATTCTAAAACCAGAACCAGTCGTTCTAAACTAGAGTTTTAGGCCTTTTTAGAAGTTTGGAACGGGCCATTCTGGTTTTAGAATAGCCCGTTCTGGGTGTTAGAACCTTCCATTATAAATACCTTCACTTACATCACACGTTTCACCTTCACTTTCACCATACCAAATTTATCAAAGTTATCAAAACACTAACCTACCCTTCTTATGATATTCCCTCCAACCATGACGGTGAGTCATACATACAACTTTTAAGTGGTCGAGTCATGGACTTTAATCAAATACCTTCTCAGCCATTTGACCAAGCTACAACTTCTGCCTCTCATCCCAATATTCAAATCAACATTGAAGATCATCTTCTTGTTGGTCTCCCAATAGAAAATGTCTTTGATCCTTTTAGCGAAGACAAAGATGAAATTCTCTTTGAACATCAAGATGATGATGAAGAAGAAATCCTTCCAGTTCCAAATAATCCACCATTAGAACCAGTAGCAATATACAACCCACCTCCATACTTTTTAGACTTTCCCAATGAAATCCAATAATAAGACACTGAGTATAGCCATCTGTTGGAACGTGAAATAGTTGTGTATCCACTTGGAACACTCTTTGTTGGCCAACGCTTCCAAACAAAAGAACAAGTACAAGATGCCATTAACAGATTTCGCATTGTCAACCATTGCACTTGCAAGGTTAAGCACTCAAACACTACTAGGCTTCTTGTGGAATGCGTTCACCACGATTGTGAATGGAGATGTCTTGCTATATTGCGCACTAGAGAAAAACATTGGGAAATCATGATCCTTAAAGGCCCTCACACATGTGTTTCTTCACTCATCTCCCAAGATCATAATAAATTGGGATCACAAATGATTTCTCAAACCATTCGTGAAATTATTGAGGCTAATCCATCTTCGCCCATTTCAACCATCAGAGCCCACATCAAGTTGACCATGGGATATACAATTAGTTACAAAAAGGGATGGTTGGCCAAGCAACTGCCATTGAAAACATCTTTGGAAACTGGGAGGAGTCGTACAACAAGTTACCAGGTATGTTGCAAGCATTGCAAATGTATGTTCCAGGCTTTATTTGGAAATTTAATACGCAACCGGCTTACCAAGGTGGCTTATTGGAAGAGGGGAATGTTATATTCAAAAGGTTATTTTGGACCTTTAAACCATGCATTGATGGTTTTGCCTTCTGCAAACCGATTGTTCAAGTTGATGGAACCTTCTTATACGGCAAATACAAAGGTACGTTATTGTTCCCAGTTGCGCAAGATGGTCGCAACAACATAATTCTATTGCATTTGCTGTTGTTGAAGGTGAAACTAGCGATGCATGGTTTTTATTTCTTAAGAACTTAAGGCAGTATGTAACATCGCAAGACGGGTTGTGCCTAATTTCTGATCATCATGAGGCTATTCAAAGTGCATGGTCAAGAAATGGAAGTAGTTGGACAAAAAATAATTTTATCCATGTCTATTGTATTCAACACATTGCACAAAACTTCATGTGACGTTTCAAAAATGCAGCACTGAAGAAGGATGTCGTCAACATAGGTAATTTTATCATTACTTTTTTTAAAATATTTAATAATTAGTTTTCATTATTTAATTATATTTTTTTTCAGCTTATGGGATGACTAAACCTAGATTCTTTTACTATTACAACATAGTAAGAGATACTAATGCTGAAGCAGCCCAATGGTTAGACAACTTTCTTAGGGAAAAATGGACACTAGCATGGGACAATGGACGACGTTGGGGACATATGACAACAAACCTAGTTGAGTGTATTAATTCTGTATTGAAGAAAACACGAAATCTGCCAATTTATTCCATGGTAATGGCCATATACACTCGTTGCAACAAGTTTTTCGTTCAAAGAGGCAGGGAAGTGGATGCAATGATTAATACTGGACATGTCTACTTGGAAATTGCAAGTAAAACTATTCAAGATGCACAGTCCAAGGCAAATACTCATAGAGTTATCACCTTTGATAGATCAAGCACTAGATTTCTAGTGGAAGAAACGCAACATCTGAGAAAAGTTTGACCCGTTGGGAGATTTACAGTAAGGCTAGATGAAATGTTGTGTGATTGTGGCAAGTTCCAGAAAGTTTATATCCCTTGCTCACATGTACTCGTTTCATGCTTACATGCACGTCACAACTATCAAACCTACATATCTCCCATATAGACCTTTCAACAAGTTGCAAAGGTATACGAATGACAGTTTGGAGAGCTCTGACTTGAAGATTATTGGCTTACTTACATTGATCCAACTATGTGGCCAAATCCAGAACTCAAGAGGACTTCCAAGGGTCGACCAAAGTATAGCAAGATTAAAACAGAGATGGATATTAGAGAACAACATAATCGTGTAAAAAATTGTTCCTATCGTCACACCTCTGGTCACACTAGGAAGACATGTCCAAATATTGGTCATGGATTTAGTTCCCGTCACCATTGCTTTTATTGTTGTAATGAGTTTTAATAAATTTATTTAGTTATATTTATAATGTTAATATTCAATAAATTTAATTACTTGATTTTACTCTTTGAGACTACGTTGTATTTGTGTTGAAAGGGTAAATTGTGTTCACTGCAATGTTAAGTTTGAAGCTAGATTTAAAGGAAACACCTTTGAAGTATGAAACTATAGTGTCTTAAACTTAAAAACACGAGATGATAATAATGAGACCTTGTCTTAATAGATTCGAAACTTGTACGAGTCAAACTGTGGCTAATAATGAAAAATCTAGATAACCTGCACATCACACTACGAAAACATGTCCAAATAATGTATAATTATAATGGACTGTTCCAAAAGCAGAACGACGCATTCCAAACTACTAAAAAGGGCTAAAATCCCTAGTTAGAACGGGACCTTCCAACATTGAGGTTATGTGAAAAAACTCAACTCTAGAACGGTCCGTTCTGGTTTGAACAGACCGTTCCAGTTGCAAAAAAAACACGACGAAAATTCATGCAGAACATGCTGTTTTGGTTGCAGAGCGGGCTGTTCCAGTTGTAAAATTCCCAGATTACCTGGACCTAAGACGAAAAAATAAAAAATAAAAAATATGTAAACAGTAAATGATGCTAGTTGGAAAAATAAATTTGCACAGGTGCTATTTGGGTAAATTTATTTTAAAAATATATTATTTGAGTAAAAAACTCGAAATAAACACGGTTATATGATATTTTTATAAATTTTTTTTATTTTATTGGTAAAAAATATTATAGGATATTTATAATTTTAGTTTTTAATTCATTTTAAGCTTATAGTTTTTTTTACAGATGGGTTGTTTAAATTTTAAAAATTAGTTTCAATTATTATATTTTTATATCATGTATTCTACTATTAATTTTATTATATATCCTAAAATATTTATAATAAAGTTCAAAATAAATAAAAAAATAACATTCATTTAAGTAGAGTTCATACGTACATTATATGTGTTGCTTAAGTAATCGTTAAACTATTTTTAAGTATAATATTAAAATGATAGAACAGATAATGTAGATTTTGTAATGGTTAAAATAAATATATAATAAAAATACTCATAAAAAATAATAAAAATAAACCTATCATTTTTTCATTATCAATATCTTAAAGTATAATATTAAAATAATAAATAAAAGTGTACTAGTGAACATAAACAACCTAATATAAAAAAAATAGAAAAAAAAAATATAATCCTATTGTTAAAAGAGGAAGAAGAGAAACAAACATAATAATAAAACTCTATCCTTACGTAAAAAAAAAATCAAAAGAAATTTAATCAATATTTTAAGGTTAAAAAGGAAATAAAATATTAGGAATTAGAAATTTTTTTAATCAAGAAATTAGAATTTAAAAACTAGCGTTTTAAAAAATATTATTTGAAGTGGTGTCTCAAAAAACACTACAAGTTACTTAAAGAAGTTTAAACATGTGTTAAAATTCTCTTTATTTTCTATTGACAAAGATCTAAGGTCAAATATAACTTTCATAATGTTTTATATTCTTTTATATAAATTTGTGTTAAAAATGAAGTACATATTAATTCTATAGAAAATCTTCAAAAAAGTTGATAGTTAATTTAAATCTTACATGAGGTCATATATCTTGTCTTAATTTAAACTTTTCTTTAAAAAAAAGTGTTAAAATTAATCAAAATTTTCAGCTAGTAAAAATAATTTGAAACTAATTTAGAAGTATTCTTGAAACGTAAACTATAATTCCCAAAGCACTTGTCTTTAGGATGTTATATCAGTGAATTCTGTTATATAATATTGTAACAATATTAGATTTAAGGATGAATTTAGTAACTTCTCAAAAACTTGAATGAAAAAGAAACAAAATATAATAGAACTCTATTCTCTATATATCTCACAAAATTTAAAAGCAAAGCTGCATCATGCATTTGCTTCAACAATGTTTAGGAAATATATCTTTGCGTATGAAACAATCAAAAGGTTTTGGATGGCATGTTATAGTTATGAGATTAATTAAGATGGTTGAAGTTTCATAATAACATGGAAGTCGTCAATGCATAGATGATTGTAGGAGTCTTACTTACCGGAATACGCGGAGGCAAAGCTTTAGTCAAACATTGTAATCTCATTCTCATAAAACTAAAAAAGGATCACAAATTTTCAAAGTCTAGATACAAGAAGGTGTATCGACAATGAAAGTCAATTGTTTAAAAATTAGGGATAAAAAGTCAACTCCTTATTCTTATTAATATATAATTAAAGTAGGAAAAACATGCAAGGTCAAATAATTAACTAGGAAATGCATCATATTTCAAAAATAGAAGATAGTTAATTCACCATATCTCGTCATGATATAAAAATTAAAAGCCCTTTAAATTAAAGAGATTTTTCCCCTAAAGTGTAGAAGTAAAAATACATTTATCTTTAGTATATTTTAAAATACATCATTCTCTTAAACCATTAAAGTTTAAATAAAATAGATGGTTGTCTAATCACAAATCAGTGTTTATTAATTTTTATAATAAATAATTAAAAAATTATACTATCGATAATTTCTAATTGATTGATAGTATAAAAATGATTACACTAATCTATGTATAATTACTTAACTTTGAAATTTAAGGATAAATATATCATTACAAAAAATATTTCATATAATGACATACAAAAAGTGTCACTATAGGTATAATATATATAGGTATATACTTATTTGACATATAGCTACGTATAATTTTGGTGTTAATTTTGAATGAGATTTAACAACATATTTTGTGTGTCACTATAGTCTATACCTACACTTTTTAATAATATACCAACATATATTATATTTATTGTGTGAGTAAAAGTAGTTTTTAATGACACGTATTGTGTCACTATAGGGTGTGTGTCTGACAATTTTCTTGTAATGTATGATTTTTTTTACTTCTATATTTAAGAAACAAAATTGTTTTTGTTAAATCTTCAAGAGTATCTATGTATGTGGAGCGTCAATATTGACAATAAATCTTATAATGAGCTATTAAGATAGATAAATAGGCAACTATGTAACATTAAATATCTTTTAATCTTGATCATTATCTAATTATTGTATACTGAAATTATCTAATAATTATATACTAAAATTGTGGTTAGAACTTCACTATATATAGGAGTGTTTGCAAGACTAATCGGGACAAATTTATCTTCATTCCTTATCCAATTTTAAATTTTTATAAGTTCATTTATTTGAATGATTGAATATTGTTCTTACATATTTGAATAGTGAAAAGGTCAATATTAGTATGAAGCAAGTTGTTTAACTTCAAGTTTAATTGCTTGTCAAAAAAAAAAAAAAAAAAAAAAAAAAAGACAAGTTTAACTGTTTTTAATTTTCTAGTATAATTATTAAACTTTTATAGGTAATTCATACCCAAAATTGGATATAATTGAAAGACCTGATAGCATATGTATAAACATTTATGAAATAAAACAAAAAAAAAAAAGAAGCCAATATTCACGTCAAAGTTGTTCGATACAGTTCAATATATGTTTGGTTTAAATTTGGCCAATGCGTGTCTGGCTATTTTTCATGGTTGGTTTTGCATTTCAACAATCCGAATGTGATTTTATAAGAAACAATGCATTGTTTATGCAACTTTTGCGTTAAATTACAAAATAAATTTTATTATGCATTTATTTTCATGCAAAAAAATTGTACCCATAAATTATATTAATACAAATTTGATTTAAATTATTTTATAAAAGTAAAATAATTTAAATTTATATGTTTATAAACACTACCTCAAACATGAACTATTAAATTATCCATTAGTGGATGATGTGTAAAATAGCAAATAGAGAAGGTAGGGTGTGCTTTGTGAATTTTAGTAAGTGGACGTGATTGTGCATTTGTGCTAACTTTTGACCCACACCCACCACAAGTGAGAATTACACGTGTTATGAACTCATTCAAAGACTTTCAAGTGAGGAGGTAGAAGAAGCCACCTTATAATATTAAATATGAATATAAAATAAGTTTCGGGAGTTGATATCTACCTTACAATGTATCGGTATCACATACTACATTTTATAATAAATAATTTAAAAAATCATTAAATATGATGAATAAACAGTAAATAATTAATAAGATTAAGTATGCTTTAGCTTCCAACTTACTATAAATAATATAGTATTTTTTTTTTAGTTTCTTAAAAGAACTCATCTTTATGATAAAATGAATAAAAAATGTAGCTTTTATTTTGTAAAATAAATCATCTTGTTTTGCACTTACAGTTTTTAGGACCAAAATAAATATTTACTATCATATACATTTATCTAATAACATGCTAAAGAATTACAGTGGATTTAGATGGAAAATTAAAATAAAATAATTTATTTGTTTGAAGAATTTTAAAATTTTTAAAATAAAATATCTTGTTTGAATAAAAAATTTATAAAAAATTTAAAATTTAAATATAAAATATTATTTAATATTAATTTTTA